AAAAAAAAAAAAAGAACACATTGTTTTTTGAAATGGTCACCCATTCTCTCGTCTTTCCTCAGGGGCAAGTAATTTTACTTACCCCCAAGCTTCAGGCATCCCCATACGGGCCACCAAATGCCGCAGTCTGGCTGGGCACAAATCATAAGCCACTCAAGCAGGAACAAACTTTATTTCCGAACTCCCTGAACACCACCCACGCGGCCTTCTCCGGGACACACCATACACCAACCGGAACTCCCTCCACCAACCAACCAACGCGCACTCTACAGGAATCCCCGTGAGAGCTCAACTGCGAACTTTCCAGGAATCCCTGCGAGAGCTCAACTGGAACTGAACGGGAACTCCGCGAGAACTCAAAAGTACTGGCAAAATGCTAGGCGCCATCCCAACTCAGCTGTGGCTCTCAACACTGAGCACGGTGGTGCACGCCTGTAATCCCAGAGGCTAGGGAGGCTGAGGCAGGAGGATCACAAGTTCAAAGCCAGCCTCAGCAAAAAGCGAAGTGCTAACAACTCAATGAGACTCTGTCTCTAAATGAGATACAAAATAGGGGTGGGGATGTGGCTCAGGGGTTGAGTGCCCCTGAGTTCAATCCTCAGTACTACCCGCCCCCCCAAAAAAAAAAACAAAAAAAAATTTTTTGGAAAAAAAAAAATAAATAAAAATTTAAAAAGTGAAGTGCTAACAACTGAGGATATTACTTAGTGGTATAAACACAATAAAACAAAACCGCCTTCACACCAGGCAACCAGGAAGATGAAGATGTCCTCGGGACCAATGACAGGGACAGGCATGGTGAGTGCTACCCTCACTGGAAGGCATGTCCTAGGACTAGGACCTGTGGCTCACTCTTCCAGGCTGGAAAGGGGAAAGGCAAAGACAAAGGAATTTGCTATTAAACTGGGTTAAATGTACAATTCTGCATTTCTGTAAGTGAAAATAATAAATACTGTCCTTTAAAAAAAAAGAAAAAGGGGCTGGGGCTGAGTGGTAGAGCACTTGCCTAGCACATGCTCTGGGTTCGATCCTCAGCATCACATAAAAATAAATATATAAAATGAAAGTATTGTGTCCAACTACAACTGAAAAATAACTATTAAAAAAAAAAAAGACACTGCTGGGCACTGTGTTGTGCATGTGTGATCCCAGTGACTCAGAGGCTGAGGCAGTTCAAGGCCAGCCTGGGCAGCTTAGTGTGACCCTAAGCAACTCAGTCAAAACCCTGTTTCAAGACTGGGTGATTAAGTGCCCCTGGGTTCAAACCCCAGTACCAAAAAAATAATAAAGAATAAATGGAAGATGCATAGAGACCATCTCCTTCAGCACAGATGAGAACACCATTCCAAGTCCGAGCTGTGACAGGGCCCAGGAGCCTGGCAGAATCAGGTATACGATCAACTAGTTCCTGCAGACCAGAACRAGTGCTGTTGATGGCGACAGCTAGGCTGGGTGGAGGTCTGCAAGGCCACGCCACAGGCACCGGAGCATGGCACTGCTCCTGCCTCAACTGAGTGCTCCAGGCCAGGCAGCCAGCAGCTAGGGACAGGTGCACACCCAGCACCCCACTCTGGATCAATAGGCCCTTTTCCAGCTGTGCTGGTCCTTCCCTTGGCTCTTACCTAAGGCAGAGCTCCCTGCTCTACTGCCCAGCAGACTGAGAAAGACACACAGCCTTCAATCACCAAAGGAGAGCTTCCACTCCTCACCTGCCGGGTCAGCTTCCAGGACTGTAGATGCTCTCTTGGGAAATCTAGAGCCCTCTCCTGCGTCAGCCCCCATGCAGACACCCTACACAATGTG